GCGGCCCCATTAAAAACTTGGGCAATTGGGCGTCAAATCGCGCATGAGTCGGGGGTGTCTGCTAGCTAAGCGCATGAATTCCACGGCGGCCCATTAAAAAACTTGGGCAATTGGGCGTCAAATCGCGCATGAGTCGGGGGTGTCTGCTAGCTAAGCGCATGAATTCCTCTATTAAGAGCTGCTCATCCGATCAAAAGAGATGGAAGTGTTAATATATTTTTTTTTCTTTTTCTAGGGTTTACTTCATATCTTGGCCTTGCTCCTGCTTGCTTTTTCTTACAATTTACCCCCCTCCTTTTGTTACATTCCCCCGAGTTCATCAGATACAAAAAGATACCAGAAAAACTAATCAAATAAAAAAAAAATATGCAGTCATGATCATCATCTATGTCTAATTACGCTTTGCAAGAAGATCCTGACAAAACCTAAATCACCGTAATTCTGTTTACATCGAGCCAGACTTTAATACCGACACAATGGTACCAAGCAAAAAGCCAATCAAGAGCACAACATAAAGAAAGAGACAAAACTAGCAACTAGCTAGAAGAACCAATGTGCAAGAAAAACTCTCTGAAAAGAAGAAAAAAATACTGCTCCATTTATGTAACAATTCAAGATAACACATCTTTCTAAAGCCTGAGGGTCAGATCTAGTTCTATGTATTCCTTCTCCATCTCCCGAACACGCCCTGAATTACTCGCAGCTTCATCCGTCGTCGTCGCTGCTCGCTCTCTGTCCTCCTCCTCTTGAGCAAACCTTGAATCGCTCAGGAGAAAATTGATCGTCACCAATCCCCTCTTCTCCTCCTCCGCCTCCTGAACGCACGTCAGATTACTCGTAACTTCATCCAGCATCGTCGACGACGTCGCTTGCCCTCTATTTGCTTCCTCCACCGCATTGGCCGTGAGCTTCACCTTCTTGGCATGTGCGCGTTCGTCTCTATGAAGGGTTTGGTGCCCTCCGAGTGCTCTGGGGCAAGCGAACTTCTTATCGCAGAACTTGCACTGCTTTGCGTTAGCTTCGTTGCCTGCGTTGCCTGTTAGCTTTTCCTTCATGCCTTGCTCACGCTCAATCCGATGAGTTGTTTGGTGGCCTCCGAGCGCTCTCGGGCAACTAAACTTCTTGTCACAGAACTTGCACTGATAAATCTTTGACGGTTTCTCTTTTTCTTGGCATGGCTGATCACTGGCGAGGTCGACACCGGCTTCCTGATTCGATGATTCCATGAGGAGAGAGAGATGGTGATTTTGTTCGGCTTCAGTTTCTGTCTCTGTAGCTGTTTATATAGATTCAAAGAGAGAGAGAGAGAGAGAGAGAGAGAGAGAGAGAGAGAGAGAGAGAGAGAGCTCCTATGTCGAATAGGAGAGGGAGAAGAATCTACAGAAGCAATTTTCGATGATGTAAGGACTCTGTTTCTTAATAGGATTCTAGCTGAAGAACTAAAAAAAATTGCTTTAGAACAGTAGAAATATATTTAGGTTACGTTGCAGAAAACCCCCCCTAAGGAATTGCAGGATTGGCAAAACGTCCCTTTAGAGTTTTAAAGTGAAACTTCATCTCCTTCAATCTTCTAATTTCACAAAACTAAATTGGACGTAGAAACTAATATCACGAGACAAACTAATTATATGCACTCTCATATAAACATATATATGTTTATTGTACCGAATAGGTCTTTTCCCCTAAAAATCATCTTAAAAATAGGGTAATTATATGAAAATCGCCTTCCATTTTTTATTTATACATAAACTACATTTAAAGCTGGTTGTTTATTGCAATCAACCCCCTCCAAGTCAAATTATCCACTTAGAACCCAAAATTACCTTTAAAAAAATTGCATTCAAGGTACATGACTCATTTTTTTGAAGCTTAGATCTTATTGGGGTACGCAAATCATGTACCTTGAACTTAAATTTTTTAAGATTATTTTTGGTTTTTTAGTAAAAATTTGATTTGGAGGTGGTTGATTGCAATAAACACCTACTTTACGGTGGTTGATTGCAATAAACACCTACTTTACGGTGGTTTGTGTATAATTTGAAAATAAAAAGTAATTATATAGAAATTACCCTGTTATTAAGCTGGTTTCTAGGTAACTGATGCTTACATCCAACTTTATGATTATGACTAGAATTTGAAAGTAAGATAGATAAAGTGTCAATTTTAGAAACTTAGGGGGGTTTTCTGCAATTTACCGATATATTCATTTTAGATTAAAGAAAGAAGAATTTAAAAAAAAAAGACTATTTAAAAAAAGACTATTTTTAAAATTTTATAAAATCGACCTCTTTTTTTGCCAATCTTGATGAGCTGGAAAAAAAATCGATTTTGCTAATTATTTAGCAAAAAGATTGTTTTTGCTAATTATTTTTTAAAATGGACTTTTTTAAAAAATTCTCCTTAAAGAAAATATAGAAGCTGTTTTACATGAAGATACAAGGCATTTTCTAAACTCTGCACCAACAAGCAGCAGCAGCCGTAGTTTTTTTTTCAGTTCTATTTTTCTCAAATTCCGGAAGAAATTATAACCTAGAGAACAGGAAAATGCATATCACACAGAAAATCAGGCTAACACCTCTGAGCTCACTAAAACTTTTGAAGATTTTCCGAACTTTGAGTAGTACAGATTTCAAACAATCAAGAGCAAGCACACAGAGAGCCAACAGATTCAGCTGAGTCAATAAATCGACGCTATTTTAATCAAAGAAGACGCCGAGCAGAACAATTCAGCCTACATTCACAAGGCATCACTGAACGATTGAAAGGACCAATTAACCCGCCTCAAGAACAAATTATCTCCGCTATCCCTCACTATTTGGAGGGATTGAGTATATAAGATTACACTTCTAAATCTGCTCCATCAGCCTTCAACTTGTCAATGCCAACTTTAATCAACCTCAACCATCCCTCACACACAGTCACAACCCTATCATCTTACGAACCAAATTCAACTACGAAGCGTTTTGACTCCTTGCTGCTCGATCTGACTGACAACAAAACCCTAGCAGCAATTAATTTTTATTCACGAGTGAAGATAATCAGAAACCAATCTGGACATTCTGTTTTTCACTCCCATCATAATTCCGAAAATACAAAAGAGCTGCTTGTTTCTGCATGAAAACGATCCAAATCCTACTGCAGATATTTCGTAGCAGATAATAATACTTGAATATGAAAACATTCAAGCAGTATGCCTCCACAAATGCAAGAAAAAAAGGACTTCCAAACTTTTGATATGAACATAATAAGGCACTTCATACATACGATTTTTAATGAATATCTCTTTGACTTGATGCTACAAACACTTATTCAAACACTAGCACCCTTACATTCTTGAGAAAGATCATTCATTTGCAGAAGTTGAAATGGAAGTTCCTCGAGAGCCTATGTCAATCAAAGTACGATCTGAAAATTTATAATGGTGCTCAAATCATGATGCCCGGAAACCTGTTTGACCAGAAAGATTTTGTTAAGCCACTGGTCAACAAGGATCGCGACAAATGAAATCCATAAGACAATAATAGTCCTATAAATTGATATGGGCTGATAAATGATGATTCAAGCAAAGTTCAAGCAAGGATTTTAACCATGTACAAGCAGCAGCAAGCATAATTGGATCACTTCAGATTTTATTTTCAGCTCTAAAATAAACAAAGAAAATTGAAGGATAAACAAATTATGTTCGCCCCTGACTTTCACCTACTTGACCATTCATTCAAATGCTCCGACCATAACTTTAAGATAGGAAACTAACCTTCCCCACCCAAAAACAAAAACAACACACACACAGAGACAATCCCCACCCCCCAATAACTCCCATTCTCTGAAGACTGCACTTAAAACATGATCTCTGATACATCGGAGAAGTAAAAATCTGGATAACTTAAAGCCTATTTCCTTAACACCAATCTCTCTTCCTTCCTCTTCTCATCTATGCTTTCAAAAGTGGGTTTACCAGTTTGGTCTCAGATGGTAACAAGGGAGTTTCAAGGAAGCAAAAGCAAGAGGAAGCGGAGAAAAGTATGAGAGTTTTGCGATCAAAGTTATCAATAAACTCCCCCATTGCTCTTCTTTTGGATGTAAGGCAGATTTAGTTCGGACAAACCCTGTGAAGAAAAAAGTAGATAAATCCAAGGTAGCTTACAATGAAGGAACTTGGAAGATTCAGGTAAGCCTCCAAATGGTACGATAGAGAGGCTAAACACAGGATTTGTGAAGTGAATAAGCAGGACATACAAACCTACAAATAGATGGATGATGAGCAATAGTCAAAGATGACAGGTATAATCCCACATCATCTTAAAGCAGATTTATAGGCTTACAAACCAAAAGTTCCGAGATGACCATTTCACATAACAAGGACTGAGAGGTAGGAAAAGTAAGGAAGAAGATTTTCACAAACACAAGAAGAAAGCAGCAGTTAAAGCTATTGCAAATAACGTGGGGGCATAGTGGACTACAATTCTACAAGCTTAATTCTACAAATTTATGGTTTCAGGTGAAGGTCTACTCAGATTAATGGGTTAGTGTTAGTTATGTCTCAAGAAAAATGTCGGGCACCTGATAATCGTCCTAGTATACCCTCTCTTTGAGTTCATCAGCTAAGCGTGAATATGCAAGGTGAAAGCATCGTTAGTCATACTTCTGCACATATGTTTGAAGATCATAAACTAGTAATGGGCAGATTTTATTTTAATTTAGTGCATGCAATTTACCAATCCCCTATCTTCTTATAATGCCTTTCTGCAACCAAAACCATTTCCTAATTAATTAAACGATCCAAAATGTTGTTATTGTACGGAAATGCATGAAGAAATAACAATCAAATACTCAATCAGCATAAATTTAACTAAAATAATTATAAAAAAAGATAAGAATATATAAAATGCAATACCAATGGCAGTAATTTACCACGTGAAGAAGCTGATGCACCAAGCATCAAAGAGACTCATGATACTCCTCCAGAAAATGCAAAACCGGTTAGGTTGAAGCCTTTTTTATGAAATACAAAGGAAAATCAAGAATTTGGTGAAAGATCATATTAGGCAAAGAATTGATAATTGAAATTTTACAGTGCGGGTAACTTTTGGTAACATAACAGGTGATAAAGGAGAGAACTTTAGGTCATCTGTTAGATGTTCCCCAATTTTGCTGAGGGAACATCGTGAGCCTCTTTGATTATAGATTTGCAACGGCAAACTCTGCATCAATATCGCACTCATTATTCCAACCAAACCCTAACCAGCACAGAATCCATAATTAGACTCGGACATACAATCAAAAGTTAAATAAAGGGAACAAGGACGAAACTTTGATCACAAGATCCAACAAAACTCACCAAGAATCGGAACTTCAGAAATAGAATTAGGGTTTCCGTTAGTCTTCTTGAAAAGAGGACATGCAAAGAGAGAGCGAGATCTTGGCCTGCTGGCACTGTGCCCGCTTCATCGAAGTCCCTGCGCTCGAGCACATGCTACGCACGGCCTCGCACTCGTCAGGGCACGCTGCCGAGATGAGGCACTGGGCCAGCGAGCGGTTTATGTGGCGACACGTCAGCTCCCTCTGGCGAGGGTCTCGGGTGCGACGATGGCAATCGGAGAGCGCGCGGTGCAGCGTACCGCAGCTCGCTGGGATTTGTGAGTCTCCTCCGTCACCGTCGCCATCGTGTTTGGTTCTCCCGCTCATTTGCTCTCTAAGAAGGGATTGGACGAAATTTTGCCGGTGGGCTTTGTTTGGGAGTTTACTAATAAGAGCATCTCCCAACCCAACTCCAAAAATCCAAAATAGAACAAAAACCGCACCAAATCTTCCTCCAACCGGACTGCAAATTCAGCGCCATTTTAATGAGGTGCTACAGTATTGCGCCAGATTTGGCGCAGCACTGTAGATATGGAGATTTTGGTTTTTCCCAAGTTTGCCCTTATAGTTTGTTATAACAAATCAAATATTCCAATTATATCCCATTTTATAGTTTGTAAATAAAATGAATATTCTTTTTGGTGTAAAATTTGGTGTAATGGTTAGAGATGGAATAGTGATTTGGTGTAAAAACTACACGAACTTGGTGTAAAAACTACATCATTTTGGGTTTTTGGGTTGGAGATGCTCTAAGGGCTTGTTTGGATTGAGGGGAATAAGGGTGAAGGGAAGTTAGGGGAACCATTCACCTTGTTTGGGAACATTTATGAGGTAAAGTTATTCACCCTAGTTCCCCTTGGTTCACCCCCTAATAGTATAAAAATTGTTCCCCCCCAAATTGGGGTGTAACCAAGGGGAAGGGAACTCTCTTCCCTTCCCTTCCATTCTCTCACCTAGTTTCCCTTAAGTTCCCTTAACCCCATTGAAATCCAAACACACCCTAAAGGCTGAAAACATAAAATGTTGTTTTTGAGTTTAGTACGGGGAACGGAACTAAATTTTATCTTGCTTGTGAGTTTTGATAAAGAGGAAGGGAAGTGAATATGCATATAGTTATACAAATGCCATTATATATTGGATATAAGTATATGTTAGTCATTGATTTTAATGTCATAATAGTATAATTGTCTTATCACATTGTAAAATTTTATATTGATTTTCATTCCATCCACTACTCCCCAAATTGGAGGGGAGGAAAATGGAAGGAAATTAACCTTCCATTCTATCATCTAACCCCTAAAAAACTCCTAAACAAGTGAAATTGAAATTTCATTTTCACTTTCATCCACTAAACTCCATCCAGACAAGGTATAGAGGCTAAACAGCAGGAAACCCCCTTAACTTTAAAAGATTATCAGATACTTCCCATAACTTTCAAAATATCAGAACATCCTTCTTCTTAAGTTTAGAGGTTATCAGAAAAACTCATTTTAATATAAGACACTGTCAGGAAACCCCCTTAATGGCATTAGTCGTAATTTTCATATGGGTGGGTAAAATTAAAAAGAAGGATATTTTTGCTAATGAAAATTGGGGGTCATGTTTTTAGGGAGATTTCTTAAAATTCTTAAAGGTAAAGAGATTTTCTGATAGTCCCTAAACTTAAGAGGGGTTTTATAATATTTTCGAAAGTTATGAGGGGTTATCTGATAAAGGGAAGTCTTATGAGATTTCTGAGATTTGGAGAGAAGGTTCGCCTAAAAGTACCATGACGTCCAAATATTCCAAAATTTTAATTATATGATTATAACATTTGATTAAAAAAAGTAAATATAAGAGATGACTAAGAGGAGACGAGATCCAATATGACAACATTGTCTAATGATGGTGATAATCATCGGAGGCGGAGCAAAGAGGTAAAGAAAAGATAAAATAAATAAAATAAATAAAAAAAAAATAAAAAATAAGAAAATAAAATGGTGAGTTCTAGCTTTTTACCACCTAGTTTCAAGCTAAAAGTAGGGATAATTTGGGAGACTAAAACTCTCATTTTTGTATAAACAAATTAAAAAAGGGGATAATTTTGCACAATTATCCCAGTTTTAGTTTTGTTACAGTTCTAGCTGACTAATACTGTAAAATTTTACTCTAGTTCTAGTTCTAATTGACTAACACTACAAAATTTTATCCTACAAATTATCCTAGTTTTACTTTTGAGTTCTACTTGACTTGCCCCGCTAATAGAGATGATCATGGGCACAAATAACGCATTATAGTCATAGGAAAAATAATTAGATAGTTTAAATAAAGGCGTTTAACCTCAATACAAAATCTTAATCACTATTTAGCCCTGTTCGTTATTTTTATGCGTTAGACAAATTACAATGACCAAACATTTATAACTAATTAATTACAATGCTAGGAAGATCAATACAAATACAAATTGCAAATCTTTCCTTTGCTTTCAATTTGTACGGAACCTAAACACTTTTCATTCTCCACTTGGCGTGCTTACCTCTTTGATAGCAAATAACAATGATTCTTCAGGTAAAGGAACATGTCTACCTTTGTAGTGGTAGTGCATACTATTGTTCTCATTCTCTATAAGTTGACCCCAAATTGTGAGATACCATAACTGACACAGCCATAAGATGAATTTTGCATCAATCATGAAATATATAGGTACTGATATACATGAAACACAATAGACAAACAAACACAAAAACTAGTTCATCAAACTATTTTCATTTTGTTTCGCTGCTAACAAATGCTGAATTGAGTTTTTTTTTTCCCCTTGATGCACATGAATCAATCTCCCAAACTTTCGATATTAGGCCATCCTTTGTCAGACTGTAACTTTACAAACTCTGCCAATTGCTTGATCTCATCCTCCAGCAGCCTTGGTCCAAATGTGCACTGACCCCTTGGAGTACATTTCTCCCCAAAGCCCTGAAGACACAAACCAATAGTAAGGAACAAGAAGAACAAAATTTTTTTACTTATTGCTGCTTATTAGATTGATTTAGAGGATACTCACAGGCATTCTTCCCTTGCCATAATACGTGATATTGTATATGTCCTCCTCTGTGTTTATACCATTCCTGAATGATTCATAATCCGTTAACGCAGTGTTTTTGCTTGGTTTGAGAAGAATGAGGGTGAATATACCTCTCTAAGTCCTTGGTGAAGAGAGTAGCTCCCTGAGATTCACAAGGATAGTGAATATTATTAATCGAAAGCAATAAGATTTATTCAATGCATATAATTTAGAGGTTGAGTCTGGATTGACTTAACGGGCTGTATTATGTTTCCTCCCATATCATGACAGCCGACGCAAGCTTTCTGAAAGAGCGCTGCTCCTTTGGATGCAGCAACAGGTTCTGCCATGGATACTGCAAACGGAAGAACTTATTTCAAGGCTTAGCTAAATAAAAAGAAGGTTGATACTCTGTTCCCCCAAAATGTTTTTAGGTCTACATTTGCCAATCTTTTTACAATATGTGGTTACTTTTTATAGTTTGATCATGAATGTTACAGACGCTTGTTCGACTGCAGCTGCATATTTTTGAAACTGTGATTACAAAAGATACCACTTTAATTTGCAAACAACTTTTGCCAAATTTTCCAGAAGTCGTTTTATCAAAACTCGTGATCGCAAGCTGTAGTCGTAGCAAAACAAGTAGCTGTAATGACAACTAACTGTTGTGCGCTGCGGAAGCCAAACAACCAAACCAACATGCTACGAGAAATCAAATCAAACGAACGTCGAGAAAAGGCCAAACGAACCAAATCAATGCCACAAACACAAACAACCAATTTTAACATGGTTCGGCAAGTTGCTTACGTCCACGGGGCAAGAAGGGGATAGGGTTTTTCACTAATAGAGGAGAAGAGTACAAACTGAGATTACAAATCACTCAAACTCACCAATTAATCTCACCAACAAATCTCTAATTCAAATCACTCAAACTCACCAATTAATCTCACCAACAAATCTCTAATTCTCTCCAAACAAAACCCTAACAAATAGCTCAGAAAATACCTAATCTCACCAACAAATCTCTAATTCTCTCCAAACAAAACCCTAACAAATAGCTCAGAAAATACCTCTTTTCTGTGCTCCAAATATCCCCAATTTTCTGCTCAATTCTCTCTTCCAATAATTCCATATATATAGAAATCCTAAAACCAAAAACATACTAGGAATTCTAAAACCAAAACCAAAACAAATTAGGAATCCTAATAACTTGTTACCAAAACAGATTAGGAATCCCAATAACCTATTACCAAAACATATTAGGAATCCCAATAATCTGTTACCAAATCAGATTAGGAACCTGCTATCCAACAATTCTCCACCTCGACGAAGTTTTCCCAAAACTGATAACTAACAACTTATAATTATGGTTACAGCTAGCTGTAAGCCAGTAATTTCAACAAACAAAACAGGATCCTAACCATTAGTGTTGTATTTCAGAATGGGCTAGGTAAAAGTGGGACCTCCTGAACATAGTTCAAAGCTCAAATTACTATCTATGCAGCAGCATTAGTACGGTTCCGCGTAAAAATTTATGCGACGCGCAATCTAGTTTCACAATTGGTGAATAATTCAGGTTTATTAATATATCTATTACATTATCTGTCAATTATGCCCATATGGAAGCTATAATAACATGTAACGTGACGATGAAGCAGGGTTATATTGGTAATTTTGGCTGGAAATGTGTGGATAAGCTACTGACCTGGGGGGTTGACAAAAGATGGAGAGGATAAGGTAAGCATAGCTGCAGCTACGAGACTGAAAGGAGATGCCAAAAAAGGTACGGTATTGGGAGTTCGTTTATGTTGCTGAGAAATTGGGCTGGCTTCCTCCCTCAAAGAACCCTGGGTCGGAGCAAAAACATTTTTATGGTCAGATTGCTGGCAGAAATCAAGAAGAGATTTGAAAAGTGAGGTGAGGATTTGTTTTGTTGTAAATTCATACCTTTGCAAATGCATAATGGGCGTCGTTGCAAGCACTCGAACAGAGAGGGAGAGAGTTCATGACTATTTGATGCAGGGTAACGATGGGCCGGGCCAAGACACAGAGCGTGAGAGAGAGAGCGAGAGAGGATAGTAGAGCCTGCACAATTTCTATTTGATATACTTCTATTCAGGGCCACGATTTCTCTTTCATGGACTCACTAATGGGCCAGGCTACAACATGGCAAAAAGAGGTATTAATGGGCTGGGTGACAACAACAAATGTGAGAGATCCGGCCTAATGCAAACGTCAGCTTGATAAGTCTGAGATAGGCCGCGAGTCGCTTTGGAAATAGGGTGGCACCACAGGCACACCCTCTCTCTCAGCTACAGTGCACGGGGCCCACTTTAGATTAAAAAAAATCTAAAGTGGGCCCTGTGTACTGTAGCTGAGAGAGAGGGTGTGCCCCAAGGTGTGGTTGAGGGTGTGCCTATAGTGTTTTCCTTGGAAATATTATTTCTCAGCATATATAGTCTTAGTTCGCTGATAATTTTGATGGGAAAGTTTAATCATGATTGACCCCATACAAAAGAAAATAAAATTTTTGAAGACTATTTTGGAAGCATCCACATAAGGAATGATTGATACCTTAAGGGATGTGAATTTTCAACTTTAAAATTTTTCAAGATGGCATAGGTTTCCAGTTTATTGCCAACAAGGACGCAAAGGATTTCTATTTAAAAGAAAAAGAGTTTTATCAAAAGTGATAGAGTGTGTATTAAGATATTGTGATAGGAGAGCCCAATTAAATCCCGTAATCCCCTGGAGTAATATCAAATGACAAGTTATTAACACTTTGCTGCGTTTGTATCCGAAGAGAGGATACAGTGAGTTTTTAACAAAGATGCTTGGGTTAAATAACTCGGTCATATTTTAAAGTTAGTTCAGACCTGACATTTTTCTTTTTCAGTTACTTTTCAGGGCCCTTTATCATGAATTTCAGACACTGTTATTAGTATGATTTACTGTGTTTTATTCATTTTTGTTGCATGTTCTAATTGTATAAACGTAAGGTAAAGAAGGATCGATCAAATAGGTACTTCCCTCTCCAAAGGCAAACCAAACAACAAGAATAAAATATTCCACAAGGTCCATGATTCTAGCATGAAGATGGGAAGCTTAATTTTCACTGAGTTGTCACTTATCAGGCTTTTGATACAAAAAGGTCTAAACTTTTAGCTCACTTATGTTTAACTTTTTAGCTCACTTATGTTCAACTTTTTGCTTCACTTATGACTCTAACACTGTCCTTATTAGCGCATCAGTGGCCTGCAGCAGCTGACCTGATCTCCTCCAACTTATTCCATCCTAAATTATTCTCTTGGGATAATACTAATGGATTCTGCGAGAGAGTTGAGACAAACTTATAAACTAAAGTATCCTTTGGTACAATAGAAAGATTAGCAGCACATCAAAGTGAAGACAAGGTTCATACCAATGACTAGTTGTGAATTAAAACTAACATTACAATGTTGTTTCTGCAAGCTATTAAGTAATTGACTCAAAGAATTATGTGCTTAAGGATAATGACTGTTTGTTAGTTAGCTAAGCATGATTGGCTTACCACTTCGTGAAAATAAAAGGTTGCTTTCTTTGTCATTTCCCGTCGGCATAACGTTAATGCCATGTTTAATCAGACAAAAGAATTAGTATATTTTAAAATTTTCAATCCAGGCTTCTCAGTGATGTGTGCAGATTAAAAAAATTGAAACAAAAGATACTGAATGGGTTCATGAGAGGAACTTGAGGAGAATTGTTAAGACGTATGATTTGTGATAGAGAAGTCGTAAGTTCGAAACACGTCTCGTGCTTATGATTTGGATCTCATGAGTCATATTTTTTAACCAAACCCTCTTCAACTTACTTTTGAAACATAAATATGGTGGTTTAAGGACCAGTCTTATCTATTTTCCAAGTAGCATAAAACATTGTTAGTACCTTTGTTTTGATGATGATTTACAAAGAATCTCTAACATCGTTTGTCTAGTGTTTGCTCATTAGATATTCTAGACAAGCATCGATGCCAGAGGTTAGTTGGATTGAGCCTGCACGATCATATCAAATGGAAGTTGGCGGAATTGGAATGAAGCTATGCATTCAAGTCAAAGATTCAAGTTCAAGCTTCATCCATGTTCACCAAGACAAGTTTAATTGAAGATCAAGATTACTTGGGTATAGTTTTTATAATTTAGGGTTTATATTTGTGTGTTAATGTTAGATCTACATCATAAACTTGAGATCTAAAACCATATAGCCATGATTAATTCAAAGAGATTAACAAAATCAAAAGAGAGCGGAAGCTTATACCTGAATCCATAGATTGATCTAGATTTTGGGTTTTGGATCTTCTAACCTTAGGGTTTTCTCTTTTAGCCGAATTTCTCTAGCTAGATGGGGGTGTAGAGAATTAGAGAATGTTACCCTAGGTTAGGGACCATAACCCCTTATTTATAGATGTTGTACTTTTGTAATTTAGCCCCTCAATAAATTACAATTACAACCTGGTATCTGCACATATAACCCCATGACTTATTTAAATACCAAATTAACCCAACTTAATTGATCACTTTAATGGGTTATCCTGAAAGATAGCAATACACATTGATTAATCATATGTGCCCACAAATAGATTTATTAGATTAAATCCAACAATCTCCCACTTGGGCACCATATGATTCCTTAAACTGTGTATAACCTTATGAGCTCAAAAATTGCTATCACTGAAATGGTATTTCCGAACAATCTCGTCCATTGACTATATCAATATAGGATCAAAGCGGCCTTCGTCACATTTATCGTGACTCGACCCATCAATGGTCACATATATCAATACAATCAAATGACATAGATCAATCATGGATGTGCAGCATGAAAATTACATGCAATGTGATCAGTACATGTCTATTTTCAACTGGTCCTCCTTAGTGAGGTCAAAACCAAACATAATGTAACAGAGTGTCTTAACTGAAAACTTTATTCTGATCAGACAATACAAACAAACATAAAGCACCACAAATACAAACTCCCACTAAAACATAATATCCTCAAATAATACCACACCCATATGAGCAGTATGCTCATGAAAGACCTTAGGAGGCAATCCCTTAATAAGAGGATCAGCTAACATGGAGTTTGTCCCAATGTGCTCTATGGATATCTGTCCACTCTGTACCCTT